TATTTATTTATTTATTTATTTATTTATTTATTTATTTTTTCCTGGAGGAAAGGAAACTACTGTCTGGGTGGTCAGGGAGGGACTCTCTGAGGAGGTGGACTTGAGAAATGAGATGGAGTCATATGGAGAAAAGGAAACACGCAGAGCTTATCAGCTCAATCATCTTGGGCAAAGGCGGACTCTGAGGCCAAAATGAAAGGAGGCCAAGGACTGTAAAGGGGCAACTGAGGATAAGTGAGGTATGGACACAAGAACATGACAGTAAAAGATTCCACCAACACAAGTCTTGGCAACTTTCCATACATTTTCATATATCCAGGTGCATATGCATATCGTTGATTTTTATCTGCTCTTCAGGCCTTTGCAAATGCTGTTCTCTCTTACCAAAATGCTATTCTTCCACCCTCATTGGGACACCACAAGCTTGCCTTTGTGCCCCCTCTAAAAAGCTTTCCCTGATCTGCCTAGATGGGATCCATCCCTCCCTTGCTGTTCCAGTTTCTCACAGTACCTGGTACTACTGCTGTCATGTGATGTTTTTCTTGGAAACCCCAGTTTCTCCACCCCATCAAAAGGGGCTCTCTGAGCTGGGGAGGCACTTGATCCATTCTGGTTGGTTGGAACTCAAAGCTTGATGCAGAGTAACCTGTGAAATGCTCCTTACTTGACTACCTGACTGATATAACACTTGAATGAGCTTTCAGGGATGTTGAACCCATCTCCATTAGGCTCCCCATTCAGGCTGCCCCCTGCTCTGAACTTTCTGCTCCTCGCCTTCATCTCTTCCTCCACCCAAATCTACCAGTCCTAGGTCCCATTTCCCTGGGACCAGCTGGTTGGCACTGAACTGAATCAAATCACAGCTTAGAGAGTCCTGGTATAAGTAACATAGTAATTCTAGGTATGGAGCCAAGCAGGGAGGAGGGAAAGTTTGGGAAACTTCCAGTGTTGCTCTCCACAATGAGTGCTCCAACCATCCCAGAAAAGTAAACTTTCTCCGTGGGGAGGAGAGACATCATGAGCAGCTTAAACCAGATTCCTAGCTGCAAGGGAAAGGAAATTAGGACACACATAGCAGTACTGGGCCCTGACATCTTGTTCATTGTTATTGGTAGGAGATAGCAAGACATGGTAGTTGCTATGGGCTGAATTGGGTCTCCCAAGAATTCATATGCTGACATTCTAACCCCCTAGTACCTCAGAATGTGACTATATTTAGAGATAGGGCCCTTAAAGAAGTAACTAAGATTAAATGAGGTTATGTATCATATACGTAGGTCCTAATCCAACATGTCCTTATAAAAAGAGGAAATTTGGACACAGGTACATACAGAGGGAAGACTATGTGAAGACACAACAAGACAGCCACCTATAAACGTTATCTAACATTGCCACTATTTTCAGAGGATTAACTGAATAAACCAGTCCACCATTACTGGAAAGAAAGAAAGAAAGAAAGAAAGAAAGAAAGAAAGAAAGAAAGGAAGAAAGAAAGAAAGAAAGAAAGAAAGAAAGAAAGAAAGAAAGGGAGAGAGAGAGAGAGAAAGAAAGAAAGAAAGAAAGAAAGAAAGAAAGAAAGAAAGAAAGGAAAGGGGAGGAAGAAAGAAAAAGAGAGAAAAGAAACAAAATCCAGTTTCAGTGATAAAATAGGCCAAGTATAATTCCTCCTTTACTAACCTCTGACACCATTTTCTGACACTGACTCAGGCAATAATATCCCAGATAAATACCACGTGGCCCAAGTACCACATACGTCACCTTCACAAGCCATAGCCACCACTCAATGTGTAGCTGTTATCCAATGACAACTCCATATAGTAACATACATAAATTTTACCCACCAGTGCTCTGGGAGATGTCAACCCCAAACTGTATTGCTTCAACAAGCATATGTTGGACACCCACCATGTGCTAAGTGCTGGGGTTACAGCAGAAAACAAGACCGCCAAAGTTTCTGCTGTCATGGAATTTACAACCTGGTAGGTAGGGACAATGGACGATGGACTTGTAGCAAACAAATTTCAAAGAGTAAAGAGTTAATATGAAGAAAATAAAAGGGAGGGCAGTGCTACTTTTAGATGGGGCATCTAGGAAGCCCTCTCTGAAGAGGCGGCATTTGATCTGAAACCTGACGTTTGTGAAGGAGCCCGCCATGGGCAGAACTGGGGGTGATGTATACCAGTCAGGGAAATAGCAAGTTCAAAGACGCTGAGACAGCAGCATTCTTGGCATGATCAAGGAATGGCATTCTTACCAGTTTTGCTGGAGATGAGTGAGGGGGCAAGTGACAGGATATGAGGTTAGAGAAGGAAGCAGGGGCCAGATTATACAGTCTTCTCCTGTGAGTTGTGGGAAGGAGTTTGGATTTGAAGAATAAACGGAAGCTTTTGAGATGCCATATGATTTATGCTCTGACAAATTTGCTATGATCACTGTTATCCAATCAGAACTGTCATGTGTAAAGGTGAGGTCTGGCTCCTCCCAGGGTCACTATCCCAATACTAGGGAGGGCAGCTCCTCTTTCAAGAAGCCTCCTTGAAAACTCACGGGTGACCCACCTACTTCCAACCACGGTCTACAGTCTATCTGGTGGGACAAATACGGGCTCAGGATTCTGGCCCCCTTAGGGCCGGTCGGGCGGAGCCCATTTGTGATTGGTTACAAGCTCTCCCACTCTTCCAATCAGACGCTACTCGGGAGGAGTGCCAACATCCCGTTCCTCATGCGAGATGAGTGGGCCATTTGATTGGCTCTTCCCCTAAGAGTGACAGCAGACAAAGCCTATGGGTGCAAAGGCACGGCTGCTCCGCCCCGCGCTTCCAAGGTGCGCCGCCGGATCCTGCCAGTGCTGGTCCTGCTGCTTGCGCTGTCTCTTCGTCCCTATGGCCGTCCCGCCGCAGCTACGGGCTCTGCTCCTTGCGATCAACGCACTGTTGCGCAAGCGCCGCTACCACGCTGCGTTGGCCATGCTTAAGGGCTTCCGGAACGGGGCAGTGTGAGTGGGGCGGTCGGGCCGGGCCCGGGCTGAAGGGTGGGTCCTGCTGGGGTCGGAGGAGTGGATTCTGGGCCCACCGCAACGCCGTGTGCCCTTGAGCAGCCTCCCTAGGCCTCGGTCTCCCGAGGTGTCCAGCACGGTGGGCGCTGGATTTGGGGTTCCGTGAGCCTTCTGAGCTGGGGCTCCCATTAAGCTGTTTTGGGGCTCTACATGCTTTGCAACCTGGCCCACTTGCCTTGACCACCTCCCACGCCAGCCCTTGTATCCCCTCGTTTGGCCCACCCCTCCCCACACCACCCCCCATACCCCGCTATGTGTCCTTGGGTCTGCCTGGCTTCAGCGGTCCCATCTACACAGTGAGAAGTGGCCACTGGCCTCTAGCAGGCCAGCGGTGCCTTCTGCCTATGCTCCCACCATTAAGGAGCCCATGGGCTCATATCCCACTTCTCACTTCTTATCTGTATGATCTAGCGCCAAGTCCCCATCCTGCCCAGGGAACTCCTAAGGCATAAGCCTGAGGAGTGAGAACAACTGTGAAAGAAGCTGCAGATATTTGCTCGACATTAAATTGATTCCACCCTGGCCATCAGATGTGCTGGAAAGGAGGTCTTGGGTTCATTTCACCTGGCTGGTAACTGGAGGGGAGCTCCCCCTCCTTTAAAACTCATGCATAACTGTTGTCATTTATTGAGAGTGTACTGTGCCAGAACTGGGGATACAACAAAAAAAACCAAAGATTTGTTCTCCTGGAGTTGGCATGCTAGTGGCATCATGGCATGGTGGTGAGACTGCCTTTGTTCAAATCTTGGTGCCACCGACCTGTGTGATCTGGAGCAAGTCATTTAGCCTCTCTAAGCCTCAATTTCTATAAAATGGGGACGATAATAATACTTACATCATACTGTCCAGAGGATTGAATCAGTGTATGTGAAATGCTCAGCACAGTGCCTGGTATATATATCTGTTGGCTGGTTGTGTGTGTGTGTGTGTGTGTGTGTGTGTGTGTGTGTGTGTATACAAGGACGTCTGCCTAGATCACACCGTCACCTTTTCAGGTCTCTGCTTAAGTGTCACCTTCTCAATAAGGTCATCTCTGAACTCCTCACTTCCTCGCATACTTAAGTTTTCTCCATACTACTTGTCACCATCTGACACTAAGTTCACCTATGTATACTGTTTTTATATTCTGTCTTTCTCACTAGAAAGTGGGCTTCATAGGGACAGAAATATTTATCTACTTTGTTCCTTGGTGTATTCCTAGTACATGGTACATAGGATACTCTCAAACATTTTCTGAATGCATGTATGAGTGTACAGGGTAGGAATTGCAATTGTCCCCATTTTCCAAATGAGAAGACAAGCTCAGAAAGGTAAACTCATTACTTATGGTCACATCACTTGGCCAGTGTCACAGCCAGGATTCAAACACAGAGATGCCTGATTCCAATGCCAGGCTCTTGGCTTCTCTGGAAACCCAGAGTCAGGTGGAATTGGTACCTGTTGGGCCTGAAGGTTTTATCAGCCATGCTGAGGTGTGACTAAGATGGGATAATATAAGTGGCCCTTTGCCAAGTTATTCTCAGGACAAAGCAGCAATGGGCATTGCCCAATGCTAGCTTTGTATATCTACTTTCAACCCAGTTGTTCCTGTTGTCTCAGCCTTCCCAGGCAGGGCAGGCACTTGCTAAGATCAGGCCCTTCTCAGGCCTAGTTCCTTTATTTCAAAGCTGGGTGCCTTCATCTCTTCTGGCCTCAGTTTCCTTCTCTGTAAAATGGAAACAGCCTCACTCAAACGGAGTGATCTAAGGCAGTGATCCCATTACTGTTTAGTGCTAAGGCACCATGCCCATCTGTAAGGACCAAGAGTTCAAGGTCCTAATGAGATTCATCATTAAAGTACCATGGCAGTGCCCGGAATGCTTTACACAGGAGATGATGGTGATATTTTGAAGGCCAAGTTAGAATTTTCCAGGAGGAGAAGGGCATCCCAACCAGAGGGAATGGTTTGAACAAAGGCCTGGAGGGGGAAAAGAATATGCGGTTTGTGCAGAGACGCTATCCATTCAGGGAGGCAGTCTTGGACGACTAAGACATATAAGCTTTGTAAAATTGAACTCGCTGTGATTTCTACTCCTCAATATGTCAGTGTGCATCTCTAAAAATTAGAGCATTTTCCTATATGGCTAATTATCATGATTATACTTAATAAATTAATAATAATCTATAGTGTTGACTACTGTCCAGTTAATAGTCAAATTGTCCTGGCTGTCCCCTAAATGTCCTCCCTAAATGTTAGTTTGCTGAGACCAGGCTCTTCCTGGACATCATGTTGAACCTGTCATTATGTCCTGTAATTCCTTTCAAACTCCAGGCACCCCCCTTTTTCAGGACATAGAGTAATCCTGTGAATGATAGTAACTGGCTCCCACCTGAGTTTGAGGGCTTTGGGAATGAGGCCTGGCAGATATACGGAGGTGGGGGCACTATTCCACTTATGTCTGGGGTATAAGCAAGGGCCCTTTTCACCCTGGTGAGCTGGAGGAGGCTGAGGGCCTCTTTGTTCAAGGGAAAGAGACATGGCTTTGGATGAGGTGTGGCAGAGAGCTTGCTGTGGCCAAGATGGGGGCCCTGCGCACTGCTAGGCAGGAGACAAGCAATTCAGCATGGCCATTGCAACAATAACACTGGCTTCAACTTGTTAACATTTACAAATTTAATTTATATATATGTATATATATTTTAATTTTTAATGTTAATTTTTTGAGAGAGAGAGAGAGAGTGAACAGGGGAGGAGCAGAGAGATAGGAGGACAGAATCAGAAGCAGGCTTCAGGCTCTGAGCTGTCAGCACAGAGCCTGACATGGGGCTTGAACTCACAAGCTGCAAGATCATGACCTGAGCTGAAGTCGGATGCTTAACTGACTGAGCCACCCAGGTACCCCTATATTTTAAAAATTAGGTAACGTTAGGGGTGCCTGTCTGGTTCAGTTGGTAGAGCATAAGACTCTTGATCTTGGGGTTGTAAGTTTGAGCCCCGCACTGGGTGTAGAGATCACTTAATAGTAAAATCTTTTTTAAAAATTAGGTAACTTTCGGGGCGCCTGGGTGGCTCAGTCGGTTAAGAGTCCAACTCTTAGTTTCGGCTCAGGTCATGATCTCACGGTGTGTGAATTCGAACCCCACATCAGGCTCCATGCTGACAGCGCAGAGCCTGCTTGGGATTCTCTCTCTCTCCCTCTCTCTCTGCCCCTCCCCCACTCACTCTGTCTGTCTCTCTCTCAAAAAAACAAATAAATAAAACTTAAAAAAAATTTTTTTTTTTAATTACATAACTTTCAGAAAAGGCATAAAAAATTCGATGATATGCCTGGCTGGCTCATTCAGTGGAGCATGAGACTCTTGGTCTCAGGGTTGTGAATTCAAGGCCCACATTGGGCGTGGAGCCTACTTAAAAAAAAAGGTAGATGCTATGAAGGCCTGCTCACCCCATTCTTCTATCACTCAGTCTCCCTCCCTGGAGGTGACACCTATATCCAGTCTCATGTCTCCCTCCAGAAGTATTCTCTGTATGTACAAACAAATACATATATTTCCCCCACACACATTTAAGACAAGTTTTCTTTTTTATTTTATTATTTAAAAAATATATTTATTTATTTTTGAGAGCGCAGGCAGGGGAGGGGAAGGGAGAGGGGAACAGGAGATCTGAAGTGGAGTCTATGCTGACAGCAGCTAGCCCAGTGTGGGGCTTGAACTCAGGAATCACGAGATCGTGACCTGATCTGAAGTTAGATGCTCAACCAACTGAGCCACCCAGGTGCCCCAAGACAAGTTTTATTTTGAAATAATTTTAGATTTATGGAAGAATTACCTCGTTTGATGCAACTTTATATTTTACACATCTTGCTCTAATATATCCTGCAGTGCACATAAAGCTGCCTCCATCTTTTACATCTGTGTAGTATTCCACTCAGTGGTGGGACCATTGTTTATTTATCCAGAAGCTCCCTGTGGATGGACATGGGTTCGCTTCCAGTCTTTTGCTGTTTCTAACAAGCCTGTGGTGAACAGTCACAGATACTCATATGACAATATGTAGTCATGGTCATTGTGCCAAGGGTTTTTAGACCTTGTAGCTTGGTAAGATCAGGGCCTGGCAGCTGGAGAACTTGGTGCGCCACCCAGGCGCCCCTGAAATGGAGAATACTTTTTACTGATAGGAGAAGAGAGGCTCAGAGAGGTTAAGTAACTTATCCAAGTTCACACAGTAAAACGTGGCAGGGCTTTGGCACCAAATACTACAGTATTTCTTTTCTACTACCCACTTGAATATAGTTAAAACAGAGGGGGCACCTCGCTGGCTCAGTGAAACATGCAACTCCAATCTTGGGGTTGCGAGTTTGAGCCCCATATTGGGTGTGATTGTTTAAAAGTAAAATCTTTAGGGGCGCCTGGGTGGCGCAGTCGGTTAAGCGTCCGACTTCAGCCAGTTCACAATCTCGCGGTCCGTGAGTTCGAGCCCCGCGTCGGGCTCTGGGCTGATGGCTCAGAGCCTGGAGCCTGTTTCCCATTCTGTGTCTCCCTCTCTCTCTGCCCCTCCCCCGTTCATGCTCTGTCTCTCTCTGTCCCAAAAATTAAAAAAAATAAAAATAAAAAAAAAAATAAAATCTTTAAAAAATAAATGAAAAACAATGAGGATGAAAGTATTCATGTTCACACAATCCCCAGTGCTCAAATGAGGAAGTACAAGGAGGGTCAGGGGAAGAGGTTTGAGTCTTAAAAAGAGGCCTTTATGTAACTTTTAAAATTTATTTCGGCATGCCTGGCTGGCTCAGTACATAGCACGTGTGTCTCTTGATCTCAGGGTCATGGGCTCAAGAAGCCCCACATTGGGCATGGAGCCTACTTTAAAAAAAAATGTTTATTCCAATTGCTTTAATTTTAAAAGCAATGCTTAATCATTATAGATCATTTTGGAAGTATAGAAAAGTTAAAAGATAAAAGTAAATTCGCATACTTCTCCAGCTCTGGGGACATTGCTAACGTTGTGGCATATTTCTTTCCAGTGTTTTTTATTTTTTAAATCCAGTTTTACAAAGCTCAGGTCCTCCTGTCTATAATAGTTGGAAAGAGGTGTATTTGGAACAGGTAGAAGGAATTATATTACTCAGCAACTATTTTAGGGAACTTATTAACGTTAAGATAAACCAAGCTGAAGATAGAACCTTCTAGAAATTACCTTCCCTCACAGATAATTAAAAGTTGTTCCAGAATCAGTCAGCCATCATGTACTAAGCACATGCTATATGTTAAGTACCATGCAAGGTGCTGGGGACTCTGTGGAGGACAAATCAAACACAGTCCCTCACGAAGCCCACAGTCTAGTGGAAGAAAGAGATAATTAGAATAGAATAAGTAGTTATGAGAAATTGAATCATTAACCCAGGAGTGTAGAGTACCACAGAGAAGCTTGGGGCTCTGCGGCAATGCAAATATTACCCTAACCTAGGCTGTTGTGTAAGAAGCCTCCACAGAGGCCCCAGCTGAGACTGGAGAGCTGAGGAAGCAGTGGCTACGTGAGGAGTAAAGGACAGTCTGGGCAGAGGGAACAGCCTGCCCAGAGGCAGGGGAGAAACTGGCAGTCCAAAGACCTACAGGAAGGCCGGGGGGGTTGGATGGAGCAGGAGAAATAGGGGGCAAGAGGTAGGAGAAGTAAGCAGGAGCCACATCTTGCAGCACTTTCAAGGCTGTGGGAAGAGCCCAGATTTTATTCTGTGAGTAGGGGAAAGGTATTGGCGGCTTTTAAATTGGGATGTGATATGATTTATGCTTTAAAAAAAAATGAGTCTGGCTGCAATGGTAAGTCAGTGTGGAACCGAGGGAGCAACTCCACACAGCCAGGTGGGTGAGGCTGGTGGAGGCCTTTGACACACATGGTCCCCTTTCATTGGAATTATAACCAGCCCTCTACGCTGACATCCCCTTTTACTGTTAGGCAAACTGAGGCTCAGAGAAGTTAAATAACAAGCCCGAGGCCACACTACCAAGAAGGTGTTAGGACTGGGATTTGAACCCAGATCTAACTTGAACCCAGATCTAACCTGAAAGCCAGCATTATCTCCCCTTCCAGGACGATGTTAGGATTAGGCTTGGAGAGGGGGCGAGGAGTCAGATTGCCCAGGGAGACTCTGTGAGGCAGTGACGCCATAGTAACTGTTTCCTTTCATTTCTGCAGCTATGGAGTCAAAATCCGGGCCCCTCACGCGCTGGTCATGACCTTTCTCTTCCGGAGTGGCAGGTACCCACCCCCTCCTCAAACTGGGAGAGAGTATGTTCAGCCCTCAGTACCAGGACGGTTGCACTAGCTTCCTAGCTAGGTCTAGCCTATCCCCCATCACCACCATCTCAAGTACAAGTCTGATCTGTTATTGCTACTCAAAAACTCCCCTGGCTCCCACGATCCTCCAGAGAAGCCCAACTTCCTTCCTTAAAAGCCCCTCTGCAACTAACCACGAGGAGCACTGGATGATGTATGGGATTGTTGAATCACTACATTGTACACCTGAAATGAAGATAACAGTGTATATTAAGTATACTGATAACTTAAAAAAACTTTAAGATAACTTTAAAAAAAAGGCCCCCCGGCTGCCTGGTCTCAGCTGCATCCCCACACTGTTCCCCTTCATCCAGCCTGCAGTGCCCTTGGCACATAGGACTCGCTGCCATGCCACATGTGGTTCCACCTCCACACGTTTACTTATACAACACCCGCTGCCGGGCATGCTCTTTCCTCTTCTGCCCTACCTTTATTTCCTTCCTGGCAACCAATACCAATTTTATGAGGGTTACTTCCTTGGGAAAACTGTCCATGACCTCCCTCCCTTACTCAAACTTCTTGGTCTTCCTCCAACCCCCGTGACTTTCCCCTCATTGCACTTCTCAGAAACTACTCTGTGGCCTCGTTTTTAATGCTGAGATTTATTTGGCCATGGGTCCTCCTTGGGTGAACCATTGCTTTTTTTCTTTTTAAAGTTTATTTATTTATTTTGAGAGAGAGAGGGAGCGTGCATGAGCAGGGGAGAGGCAGAGAGAGAGGGAGGGAGAGAGAGAATCCTAAACAGGCTCCATGCTCTCAGCGCAGAGCCCAATGTGGGGCTCAAACTCATAAAC